ACAACCTGTCTTTATTTTTTGGAGAGATTTTTGCTATAGGGTGCGTGCGCTCACCAGACAGAGAGAGACAGAGACAGAAAACAAGAAATCACCCCCCAGGGGGGATGGCCATGCCACAATCCCTTCTCCTCCATTCTCCTCTCGGGATCTTGGGCACACACGCACACGTGCCCGGCTTGAGTTTTAAGCCACCGGGTCCGGGACAAGAACCACGGTGGACTACATGGGAGTCCAGCGACATAGCCATTACGCCAACTGCTGGTTCCTACAACCTGTCTTTATTATCACTATTTTTGTCAGAGGGTGGTGTGCTCACTACAGAGGGATAAGTAGAGCATGGTCTCGATGCAAATCGCTCAGGCTTCACCAGACCACAGGGCCAGCCCTGGGCTGACTTGTTTACTGAGGCATTTCTGGTGCCTACAACAAGGAGGAGGTGTCAAATCAGTGTTGGACAATCTGAATAAACTGGCAGGGACCCAGGGCTTTGGGAAAGCCACCCATAGAAAACAACTGGCTCAATGAGAAGAGCAGGGAGGGAGGAGGTCAGGGCCCACGTAGGGTGGGAGCTCTCTCGGAGAGTCCCGTCTCTCATGTCACAGCCATAGGTAAGTGCGTCCATGCCCAACGGACAGGCAGGGAGAAATGGCCACACTGTTGTTAAGTGAGAGAAGCAAACTTCAGCACACCAGCTATAATCCTACTTTGTTAAAAAATGGGGCCAGCAGACAGCAGAATGGTACACCACTGGACTCCCACATAGATGACCACAGTTCAAGTCCCAGATCTTGCAGCTTAAAATTCATGCTGGCCACATGCACATATGCGCCCAAAATTGAGAGGGAAATGGAGAACGGACTGCAGTGTGGCCACCCCCAGTGGAAGGTGACTTCTTTCTTTCCGTCTCTCTCTGGCGAGTGCATGTGCCCTATAGCAAAAACCTTTTAAAAAATTTAACGACCTGGGAACCAGCAGTTAGCGTAATGGCTATGTCGCTGGACTCCCACGTAGTCGGCCACGTTCGCGTCCCGGACCCGGTGGCTTAAAACTCGCCTGGCACGTGTGCGTGCGTGCCCAAGATCCTGAGAGGAGAATGGAGGAGAAGGGATTGCGGTGTGACCATCCCCCCTTGGGAGGTGATTTCTCACTTTCTGTCTCTATGTCTCTGTCTGTCTGTCTGGCGAGCTCACACGCCCTATAGCGAAAAGCTCTCAAAAAAAAAAAAAATTTAACGACCTGTGTTATTCATTCATTCAACACATACAGACCAGGCACTTACATATAGGTATCCATTTACTAAACAAATATTCACTAACTGGGGCCACCAGGTGGCGTGGTGGCTGGGGTGCTAGACACTCCCACATGGCCAACCATGATTAGAGACCTGGACCTGTTGGCTTGCTTTCTCACACCCGCCCCCCCAACCCCGTGTCTCTGGTCAAATTAAAATAAATGAATGAATAAACTAAAAGTTAAATAATTCTTTTAAAAAAAATTCACTAATCACCTATGTACCAGGCCTGGGGCTAGGGGTTGGGGGTTGAACAGTGAACAAGACCTCCGACCCCCACAAAACTTACCATCTGTGAACGCTTCACAGAAACCTCTGGAAGGTTATATGTACGTCTGCTCATACAGTTTTGGAGGGGGCAGGATTGTTGCATACACACTCACTGTGCTCTCTTCAGCAGCACATACACTACACACGTACTCACACTTTTTGTTTTTTGAAGTTTATTACCTTCGTGAGAGAAATACAGTAACTCCAACAGGGTCTCACTGCTGATCCACTCCTAGCCTCAGCCAGCTCCAGAGCTGGGCACGTGCCCAACACACTTGGGGAGGCCTCTGGAGAGGGACCCGGGGAGCCCTGCCCCGTGGGTCGGCCTCAGCAGCACCATCCAGCCTCTGCCCTTCCAACACCAATGTCAGGAACCGCCACCCTGAAAGCAGCAGTAGGTCAGGGAGCTGCGGTGGTCAGAACTGACGCTAGCTGGACTCTTCCCTGTGCCAACCCTTTAGTTTTTACATTTTCGCCAGAAGCATGTACACTCACCTGAGAAAGTGAGGAAGCACTTCCCCATGGGGACAGTCATGCCACAGTCTTTTCTCCTCCGTCCCCCACTCCTTTCAGGCCTTTAGGCACACACGCACATGGCGGCGTGCCTTTCCAGCCCCTGGGTCTGGGAATCGAACTGCAGCCAACCATGTGAGATCCAGCTGCCTTAACCATGTCACAGGGTGGCCCGACACTGGCTTTTAAGGCACATGATGTCATTCATCCCAACAACCCCATGAGGTGGGTGAAGTCGCTATTCCCATTTCATGGATGAGTAAATTAGCTGAGCTTTGAGGCCGCAGAGCCAGGAGCCTTCAGAGCGAGAACTGCTGAATGCTGCTCAGCTGTGAGCTGCCCTGGCACCAATCTGAGGTTGTGAGGAAGCCATGGCGGCCAGGGCCTCCTTCCCCAAGGGAGACGAGACCAGCAAATGCTTCACTCAGGGTCAAACTGCAGCACTGGCCAGAGGCCACCCATGGGGCCAAGGTATCCAAAGTCTAGAGAAATACTGGGTCATCGGAAATGTCACAACGCATTTGTGCATAGAAAAACGTAAAAAACTATGACATGATTTTTCCAACGACCCAATAAAATTGGCAGAAAAAAATGGCTGAAGATTCTATTACAGGGGCAGGCAGATGGCTTGGTGGCTAAGGTGGTGGACTCCCGCATGGCCGGACGCAGTTCGAGTCCCAGACCTGGTTGTTTGCTTTCCCACTTCCTATCTTTCTCTCTCTCTAGTCAAATTTAAAAATAGAAATAACAATTCTTTAAAAAATAATCTATTATTTGCAATTTCTTCAAGATTTTAGAATAGTGCCTTTTGCCTGTTTAATCAGCCCCTCCCTGATGCACACGATCCCCTCTCCCGCTCTCTCTGGTATTCTAACTCAGTTGACCGTACCAGAGGACAGGTCCCTGAGCTCAGCGGCTGCGCCGCAGGCGTGAATGTGGACACATGTATGAGCAAGTCACCCCTTCCAAAAGCACAACTGCCCGCTGTCTCACTGTCCTCAGTACGGGAATTACCTCTGGATTAAACTTCCCACTCTGAACAGCAGAACGTGCCCTTCCTGTCACACCTAATGTTTCCTTATGGGGGGGTGTACGTCATTTCTGGCTCACTGGCTGCTTGGTCACGACATTCGTCTGATTTTCTTGGCTTCTTTTTCTTAATGCTTTCTAAGAGCTCTGTGTATACTGTGCATATTTGTTCTTTTTATTTTAAATAATTATTTTACTTAACTTTATTTATAACTTGACCAGAGAGGGACAGAGGGACACAGAGAGAGAGTGTTAGAGAGAAGGAAAGTGAGAAAGCAAGCCGTCAGGTTCAGGACTAGAACCACAGTTGGCCATGTGGGAGTCCAGCACCCCCAACCCCCACGCCACCTGCCGGCCCCGCATATTCGTTCTTAGTCATGGATATTGCACAAGCTTTCATTAGGCTGTCATTTATGAGTTACCTTGTCCTACAGATAGATGTTTTTCCTTTTCAGTTGGGTCAAGTCCATCAATCTTTTCTTTTTTTGGGGAGAGGTTTTTGCTATAGGGTGCCTGCGCTTGCCAGAAAGACAGAGACAGAGACAGAAAGTGAGAAATCACCCCTGGGGGGGATGGCCAAGCCACAATCCCTTCTCCATTCTCCTCAGGATCTTGTGTGTGCCCACGCGCACGCCTGGTGTGAGTTTAAGTCACTGGGTCCAGGCCTTGAACCACAGTTGACTACAAGGGAGTCCTGCAACATAGCCGTCACGCCAACTGCTGGTCCCTGTCAATCTTTTCTATTACAGCTTCTGAGTTTTCTGTCACATGTAGAAAAGCTTCCCCTACTTGGTTCTACACAGCCATAAGCTCCAGCTTATAAATAGTTACTTATTTTTTTTGTTATAGGGCACGTGTGCTTGCCGGAAAGAGAGACAGAGACGGTGAGGGAAAGTGAGAAGTCACCCCCCCCCCAGGGGGATGGCCACACCATAATCCCTTCTCTTCCATTTTCCTCCTGGGATCTTGAGTATGCACACACATGTGCCCAGCCTGATTTTCAAGCCACTGGGTCAGGGACTGAACCACAGTCTACCATGTGGGAGCTCAAGGACATAACCACTATGCCACCTGCTGGTCCCTAACAGTTCTTGAATTCTTATCTCTTTATCCACCTGCTGTCCCACCAGCTGCCTGGCCCTTCAATGCCCTGCGTGTGTTTCCAGCCCCAAGGTAGCACTTGTGTCCTCAGAGTCCCAGGGCTGGTCTGGACCAGAGAGCTGCTGGGTGCCCAGTCCTGGTCTTAAGCTCTTCTCTAGTTCTGCTGCCACCCGGGGGGCTGCAGCCTGGATGGCATCCTGGATACTATGTAGGTCCCAGTGGGTCCTCAGGAGAGCATCGTCCAGTGTGAAGAAGCCGTCGCGTGTGCGCCGCACCTGGGAGCAGACAGCGCTGGTCTTCAGTTCCAGGCCGACCTCGTGCACCAGCCTGCGCAGCTGCTGCGGCGTTTCATGCAGGCACTGCACCTCTGCCAGGGTGGGACACACAGGGGTGACTGGTCAGGAGCATAGTCCCAGGGCTCTGGCTGACCTGGTCCCACACCATGTGGACACCTCCTGGCCGCCCAATAACAAGCAAGACACCTTAGCTTTCTAGGCCCGGCCCTCTAGGGCACAGTCCATGGGTGGCCTGTGGGCACCACCAGACTCTCAGCCCCGCCCAGACCTGCTGAGTCCGAATCCACTTTCTAAGAAGATGCCCAAGTGATCTGTGGGCAAGGCGGCTGAGAGCGCTGCTCTAAGGTTTGGTCTGCTCATCTGGAAGACGAGACTACGAGAGATCGAAGAGATGATTTATACAAGGTCCCAGCATCAGGAGAGACTTGGTCAGTGCTCGAGACAAGATGCTCTTATTACCATGGCCAACAGAGAAGGGAGGGGACAAAGAGCAGGGTGATGGGGCCAAGTCAGGAGGGAGTGGAGAGAGTAGAGGCCGATGGGCACACAACCACCTCACCCCGGGCAGCTCTGAAAGGAGCTAAACAGAATCGCTGCTTGTGAAGGTCTGGCACTGAAGGGGGCCTGGCAGGAGAGAAGGCAGCATTTGTTCTGTGGTCCAGGCCAAGCTGGAAAGGATGTCAGCCCCCAACGTCTGGGCCAGCGGAGATCAGGGTTGGGGCATGTCAGCCTTGGCTGAGTCCGAAACCAGCAGCCTCTGCCAGAGCAGTCCACAGTGGTGACTGGAAACCCAGCAGCCCTGGCTCAGCCCGCCAACGTCCCGGCCACCTACCTAAGACAAACTCTGGAGGTGCAAAGTGGCAGCACTGGATGCCGGTTACCAGCATCGGGGACTTGTTCCTGGGTCGGATCAAGCCCCTCACAGCCATCTCGTAGGCCTCCTGAGTCTTCAGGTCGAGGTTGGAATACCTGCGGATCAGGAGGGGCCACAGCTGGGTGCAGGCACATGTGGTGGCTGGGCTGGCTGCCGTCCTGCCCATCACAGGTGCCTTTCCCGAAGCTCTTTGTTGGCTTTCTACGTTCCCTGCCATCGCTGCTCTTCCGCTTTGCAGCAGCCGTCCTGCCCCGTCAGCCCTGGGTGCAGCCTCTGCATGCGCTCCCCGGCTTCCCCGTGCCCACCGCTCCTGAGCCTCTTCTTGTGCCTGTGCTCCAACGTCTGAATGCAGGCCTCCCACGGGCACCTCTCTCTCAACCCAACCAAAGTGAATTTGGCATCTCCCCCTGAGAGGGCCTCCTCCCTGCGGTCCAGGGTGCCCTCCCCGCCCATGTTGTCCTGCCCATCCCTCTCCCAGCCCCTCACTGGGAGCCCCACTTACATTACCAGGGCCTTCTGGTGGGAGCCTTGGATCACAGCCAGGACCCGGTCTAGCTTCCCTCTGGTCACATGGTCTGGAAGAGACAGGCAATGGTCAAGGCAGGACCACAGCAAACCACAAAGTAATCCTGCCCTTGACACCTGATGGTGGGGAGAGCACCCAGCTGGGGGGGTCACATGGGATAGGAGTGGCGAGAGTCCGTTGAAGACATTTTTATGAAAGTTCTGAAACTTCTCAGAAAGGTACATGGAGGGCAGACGGTGGCGCAGTGGTGATGCGGTGCTCCATGACGCCGACCCACGTGGGGGAGTTCTGGGTTCATGTCCAGAGACCTCCCTGGGCACAGCAGGGGCCTGCATGCCCACAGTCTGGGGCTGGCTGGGGCCGGGGACCCTGTCGGGTGTGGCTATCTCTGCTCTCTCACTCAGGGAATAGAAAATTGACCTTTAAAGGGACCAAGGCCACTAAAGTTACACTCGAAACTTCATCTTCCAGATCCCCGAAACACTCAGACAAGGTAGGGCGACCTCTGTCCTCTCTCTTTAAATTAAAAAAAAAACATTTTAAATCCAAGGTGTGCCCTGGTGTGTTGACAGGCACCACGCAGTTGTCTTTTTTTACCTTTTAAAAATAATTTTTTTTGGGGGGCTAGCAGTTGGTGTAATGACAACCTCTGGAGGTGCAAAGTGGCAGCACTGGATGCCGGTTACCAGCATCGGGGACTTGTTCCTGGGTCGGATCAAGCCCCTCACAGCCATCTCGTAGGCCTCCTGAGTCTTCAGGTCGAGGTTGGAATACCTGCGGATCAGGAGGGGCCACAGCTGGGTGCAGGCACATGTGGTGGCTGGGCTGGCTGCCGTCCTGCCCATCACAGGTGCCTTTCCCGAAGCTCTTTGTTGGCTTTCTACGTTCCCTGCCATCGCTGCTCTTCCGCTTTGCAGCAGCCGTCCTGCCCCGTCAGCCCTGGGTGCAGCCTCTGCATGCGCTCCCCGGCTTCCCCGTGCCCACCGCTCCTGAGCCTCTTCTTGTGCCTGTGCTCCAACGTCTGAATGCAGGCCTCCCACGGGCACCTCTCTCTCAACCCAACCAAAGTGAATTTGGCATCTCCCCCTGAGAGGGCCTCCTCCCTGCGGTCCAGGGTGCCCTCCCCGCCCATGTTGTCCTGCCCATCCCTCTCCCAGCCCCTCACTGGGAGCCCCACTTACATTACCAGGGCCTTCTGGTGGGAGCCTTGGATCACAGCCAGGACCCGGTCTAGCTTCCCTCTGGTCACATGGTCTGGAAGAGACAGGCAATGGTCAAGGCAGGACCACAGCAAACCACAAAGTAATCCTGCCCTTGACACCTGATGGTGGGGAGAGCACCCAGCTGGGGGGGTCACATGGGATAGGAGTGGCGAGAGTCCGTTGAAGACATTTTTATGAAAGTTCTGAAACTTCTCAGAAAGGTACATGGAGGGCAGACGGTGGCGCAGTGGTGATGCGGTGCTCCATGACGCCGACCCACGTGGGGGAGTTCTGGGTTCATGTCCAGAGACCTCCCTGGGCACAGCAGGGGCCTGCATGCCCACAGTCTGGGGCTGGCTGGGGCCGGGGACCCTGTCGGGTGTGGCTATCTCTGCTCTCTCACTCAGGGAATAGAAAATTGACCTTTAAAGGGACCAAGGCCACTAAAGTTACACTCGAAACTTCATCTTCCAGATCCCCGAAACACTCAGACAAGGTAGGGCGACCTCTGTCCTCTCTCTTTAAATTAAAAAAAAAACATTTTAAATCCAAGGTGTGCCCTGGTGTGTTGACAGGCACCACGCAGTTGTCTTTTATTACCTTTTAAAAATAATTTTTTTTGGGGGGCTAGCAGTTGGTGTAATGGATATGTCGCTGGACTCCCATGTAGTCGAGTGCGGCTCCCCCGCCCCCGCCCCCAGCGGCTTGTTCGCCCTCTTTTTTTTACCCAAGATCCCGAGAGGAGAATGGAGAAGGGATTGTGGCATAGCCATCCCCCCCTGGGGGGGGGTGATTTCTCGCTTTCTGTCTGTCTGTCTGTCTGTCTGGCGAGCACACGCACCCTATAGCAAAAACCTCTCCAAAAGACAGAAAGAAAAAAAAAATTTTTTTTCAGGACCAGCAGGTGGCAAGGTGGTTAAGGTGCTGAAATTCCCACATGGCCAACCGTGGTTTGAATCCTGGACCTGGCGGCTTGCCTTCTAACTCCCACTTTATCTGGCAAAACTCAGATGAATAATAAATAAATAAATAAATAATTCTTAAAAAAATTTTTTTTCCCTCTTTTTCTGTTGTTTTTATCTGGTCTTCCCCCCCTTTTCTTTTTTTTTGGAGAGGTCTTTCGCTATAGGGCGCGTGCACTCGCCAGACAGACAGAGAAAGACAGAGAGACAGAAAGCGAGAAATGACCCCCCAGGGGGGATGGTCATGCTGCAATCCCTTCTCCATTCTCCTCTCGGGATCCTGGGCACGCACACACATGCGCCCAGTGTGAGTTTTAAGCCACCGGGTCCGGGACGCGAACTGCGGTCGACTATGTGGGAGTCCAGTGACATAGCCATTATGCTAACTGCTGGTTCCCTCTTTTTATTTTTTAACCTTACTTTCCTACTCTGTTCCTCGGTCTCCACATACTGAGTGTCTAGACAGGTGTAGGTGCACAGCAGTCAAGCATCTCAGTACTGAAATCCTTTACCTTTATTGAACTTCCTGCTTTACAAAAGAAACTTTTTATAAATCTGAACTCATAATCTTTCTGCGGATACCACACTGCAAAACACAGTAGAGGAGAGATTTTATCACGGAATGATCAGAAATCACTGCAGAGGCACAAGGAATATGAGAAACCAAGAAAATCTCTCTCCCCGAGGTGAAAAGAACCATCCTTCATAATCCACAGATAGTACAGTGGAACTCGTGAAGTCTGATAGAGAATTCAGAATATTCATAGTGACCAAACTAAACGAGATACAGGAGCTGAGAGACAATGAACTGCAGAAGATGCAGGAGAAAAGAGACAACAAGTTCCAGGAGGTGAGGAAGTTCTTACACGATCAGGAGGTGAGGAAGTTCTTACACGATCTGCAAGAGGAAATACACACCATACGAAAGAATGAAAAAGAACTGTTAGAGATGAAGGCTACAATAAAGGAAATCAAAACGTCCCTTGAAAGTATTAACAGCAGATTAGTCCATACAGAAGATTGAATCTCGGCCACTGAAACCAAAACCTCTGACCTAGAAAAAAACAACCAAAAAAAAAAAAAAAAAGAAAAACCTGAGAAAATAACTAAAAAGAAAAAAAGAATACTATACGAGAAATACTAGATACCATTAAGCACCCAAACATCCAAATAATTGGTATCCCAGAAGGGGAAGAAACTAATCAGGGCATTGATAATCTATTCCATGAAATCTTGGAAGAAAACTTTCCAAATCTAGAGAGGCATTCAAATATCCAGACCCAAGAAATACAAAGGACCCCTACTAGAATCAACCCAAGATCTTTGCCCAGGCACATCATAGCCAGACTGGCCAAATCCAAAAACAAAGATAAGATACTAAAATTGGCAAGAGAGAAAGGTCAGGTTACTTATAAAGGTTATCCCATCAGGCTAACATCAGACCTCTTATTAGAAACAGTGCAAGCAAGGACAGAATTGGAACATATATTAAAAATGTTAAGTGAAAAACAGTCTCAACCAAGAATACTATGCCCAGCAAGCTTATCCTTCACATGGGGAAAAAAAAGACAACAAAAACAAACCTCAGATAAACCAAAACTCAA